CTCCTGACAAAATACAACTGAGGTGCCAGGATGGTGGCCCCTCCAAGCTAAAGGTGGTGCTGTTCAATGCCATGTCGGTAAATGGAAAAACTTCTATCATTCAAGACCTAATCGAAGAAGAACGAGCCGACCTGGCTTGTATAACGGAGACCTGGCTGGACGAGGGGGAAGGGGTTAATCTCTCCCAACTCTGTCCACCAGGTTATTCCGTTCAGCACCAGCCAAGGCTTGGAGGGCGGCGAGGCGGAGTCGCAGTGGTCTATAAGGACTTTATTCCACTGATCAGGTGTCCCATCCCACAATCATCTTCCTTTGAATGTGCCGGCTTCAGGATAGGTGACCGGGACAGGATAGGGATTCTGTTAGTGTACCGACCACCCCGCTGCACTACAGTCTCCCTACCTGAGCTAGCGGGAGTGGTCTCGGACATGCCGTTGAGCTTCCAACGGCTCTTGGTCTTGGGAGATTTCAACATCCATGCCGAGGCCCCTCTTTCTGGTGCGGCTCAGGACTTCATGGCCGCCATGGCAACCATGGGCCTGTCCCAACTAATATCTGGTCCCACCCATAGTGCCGGGCACACTTTAGATTTGGTTTTTGTCCAGGGATGGGATGAGGGTGACGGGATGGAGGAGCCGACCATCGCCCCATTGCCATGGACCGATCACCACCTGATCAGTTTTAGACTAACTGGGCCTCCTAACCTCCGCAGGGGTGGTGGACCCATTAGAATGGTCCGCCCCAGGAGACTTATGGATCCAAATGGACTCCTAACAGCTCTTGGGGATCTTTCCACCTCCTTGGCTAGTGATACTGTCGATGCTCTGGTCTCTCGTTGGAATAATGAATTGACCAGGGCAATTGACACTATCGCTCCGGAACGCCCCCTCTCGAGTAACCGAGCTAAACCAGCCTCTTATTTGGGCAAGGTCATGGAACGTGTGGTGGCAACACAACTCCAAGGGTTTCTGGTAGACACTGATTATCTAGACCCGGCACAGTCT